TTAATTGAAATTGAAAATTTTTGCATTTTTAGAAAGTAAAAAATATTGTTATAAAACATGAAGATATTGATTGCTCCGAGTCGAAGACTCGGAGTGATCGATTTCTTCATGTTTTATAATAATTAAAGATGTTCGAGAGATAAAATAATCATTTTATATTATAAGAATATTGGTAGTACTGTAATTTCTTCAAAATTATTTTCATATTCAATTATTATCTAAAACTGTAACAGAAATTAATTTTTTTAATCAATTTTTATTAGTAAATTCTTTGAGAATTCAATTATTTAGATAGAAAAATTAATTATTTATTGAATAATTGAATGTTTCTTAAAATTTAATTCTTATAAAAAATTTTATTATTAAATTTTTTAATAATTGAATTCTTTTGATGAATTTTAATAAAATTTTGAAGAATAGTTACATTTTTCAAGGAATTCGGTTAAAATTGTATCAAAAATAATTGAAATTCTCCGATGAGTCTTATTATTTATTATAATAATTATATTAAAATAGTAGATTGAAAATAAAAATCTATCTACTAAAATAGTATAGATATTGAGAAAAACTATTGAAAATAATTGAAATTTTGACAAGAATTTTGTAAGGATTTTTGCAAGAAGACTAGAGACAGGAGGTAAAACTTCGGTAGTGGGGGTATGGCAATGCTGAGTCGCTCAGCTGATGTATGGTCAGGCGTTTACTTTCAAAAAAAGTTTTCGCCGCAATAGACCACACGGACTTCTGCGCAATCTAACAGACGTAAACACGGGAAAATATATTCTATACAAATACAATATGAAATATAAGTGTTTATATTTTCAAACATCTTTTAGTTATTAAAAAAACGTTTTAAAAACAAAAAAATGTGTAAACTGTAGCATGAAGTGTATTAAAAGTTAACAAAAAGTAATAGTCATAGTGTTGGGTAGGTTTATCTTGCTTCTTGTTACAACTTTTCACACAGCACGTTTTCGGAATTTTTAACTATTTGAATAACACTTAATTTAATAATCACTCACATTATTTCTATATATCCGTTATGACACACATTGTCAATTGTGTCTCGATTGCACTGATTGCACTTTAAAGTTAACCTCAAATTAAAATCATATCATACACATATGTAAAACATATGGTATACAAGAATTTGAATGTGTGAGTAATGTGCAGAAGCACCGCGCCGGCGACTTTTCGAAACGAAAAACGCCTGGTTAATAAAAGGGTTTTGACTCATCCCCACTACCGAAGTTTCGCCTCCTGTCTCTAGCCTTCTTGGATTTTTGAAAATAATTGAATTTTGGAAAAGAATTTTATTATTTATAAAGACAATTGAAATTTTGACGAGAGTGGTTAAAAATTTTTTAACAGAATTGAATTTCTGCAAATAATTTTATTAAAATTTGTTTTAAATAATTAAATTCTTTTGGAAAATTTGATTCAAATATTAAAAAAACCGGACAAGTGCGAGTAGAACTCGTACTAAAACCGAGGGTTCCGTACCCTCGTTTAAAACTTCTACTTTTTTGCTGGAAAAAATATAAAGATCAACTCCAATATTTTTCGCTGTATTTTTTCTGTAATCTACAGGTGAAAATAAATAAATAACTAATTTTCATCTCTTCACATAAAAAACTGTGGGCGCTAGGGTAAAAAACACGTTTTTTTGACGAAATTTAAAAAAATTTTGTGTTTTTCGCTAAAAAAAAATATGAAGATAAAATCCAATTATGTTCGGTGTATTTTTCCTGAAATCTACACTTGAAAATACATCAAATAAGCAAAACTGTAGTCCAATAGGCCAAGAATTGTGAAAACCAAGGGAGGGGGGGTACACACTTTTTTTCTAAAACGAAAAATTTTTTTAGTTTTTCGCAAAAAAATATGAAGATGAACTCCAATAATTTTTTCTGTATGTTTGTTGAAATCTACACGAAAAAATAAATAAAAATGTATAACGCCAGTCCACTAGACTAAGAATTGAGAGAACTAGCATAGGTATAATTATTATCAAAAATTGAAAAACAAAATTTAGGTTTTCGCTCAAAACGCAATGAAGATCAATTCTAATCATTTCCACTATATTTTACCTGTAATCTACACGTGAAAATACAAAAGTGTACCAATTTTCAGCTCTTTAGGTAAAAAACTGTGAGTGCTAGGGTGAAATAAACGCTTTTTTGACGAAATTTTTAAAAACTTTGAGTTTTTCGATGAAAAAAATATGAAGATCAAATCCAATCATGTTCGCTATATTTTTCCTGAAATCTACACACGAAAATACATAAAATAAGCAAAACTGCAGTCCAATAGGCCGAGAATTGTGAAAACCAAGGGGGGGGGTACACACTTTTTTTTAAAAAACGAAAAAATTTTTTAGTTTTTCGCAAAAAAAAATATGAAGATGAATTCCAATAATTTTTTTTGTATGTTTGTTGAAATCTGCACGAAAAAACAAATAAAAATGTAAAACGCCAGTCCACTAGATTAAGAATTGAGAGAACCAGCAAGGGTTAAAGTATGTTCGTGCTTGCAAAAAGAGATTTTAGATGTTCGATGAAAACACCATGAAGATCAATTCTAATCACTTCCGCTATATTTTTCCTGTAATCTATGCGTAAAAACGAATAAGTATGCCAATTTTCAGCTCTCCAGGTAAAAAAATGTAGGCGCCAGGGGGGGGTACATGGATTTTTTTCGAAATTTTCAAAATTTTTGACTTTTTCGATAAAAACAGAATGAAGATCAATACCAAATGTGTTCGCTATATTTTTCCTTTAATCCATTTTTGAAAATACATATGCATACCAATTTTCAACTTTCTAGGTAAAAAACTGTGAGCGCTAGGGGGGAGGTACATGCCTTTTTTTGCAAAAAATGGCCAAAATTTAATGTTTTTCGTCGAAAACTCTATGAAGATCAATCCCAATCACGTTCGCTATATTTTTCCTGTAATCTACGCGTGAAAATACATACGTGTACGAAATTTTAGCTCTCTAGGTGTAAAACTGTGAGTGCTAGAGGGGGGGTACATGGTCATTTTTGTAACCGTTCCAATAGGGTTCCTACCGGGGTACGGAACCCTAAAAATTATGATATTAAGGAAAAATTTTTGAAAATACTTAAAATTATGTCAAGAATTTTATTAAGATTTTTAATAATAATTGAATTTCGGAGAAAAATTTAATTTTTTTATAAAGATAATTTGAAGTTTGACGAAAATTAAAAAAAAAAATTAACATAATTCAATTCCTGTAAAATTCTTATTATTTATGAAAATAATTAAATGTTTGCGTAGAATTTTATTAAATTTTTTTTAATTGAATTCCTTTTGAAAAGTTTTGTTAAAATATTAGATATTGAAAATCATTAAATTGAAAATTTTTTTTTTTAAATAATTTAAATTTTGCTATAGGAATTTTGTTTAGATTTTTGAAAATAATTGAATTTCGAAGAAGAGAGATTATTTATAAAGATAATTGAAATTTTGATGAAAATTTAAAAAAAAATTTTGAACATAATTGTATTTTTACGAAGAATTTTATTACTTGTAAATATAATTGAATTTCTGCAAACATTTATAACTTCTCCAAAATTCTAATTTCAATTAAAAAGTGAGTAAAAAGTAAGCCGCACGAATTGTTGCTAGTACACTTTAAAGTGCATTGAGAACTGATGCACATTTTTTTATATAAAAAAAATGTGTCTGTCGAAAATTATTGGAAAACGTGATTTCAACAGAGAAACAGAAAATTTCAATTGAAGAAAACTTCGGGAAAAAAAAAGAATCCATTGCTTCCTATTGTCCAAAAAATTTGAAGAATTTTGCCATTTTTATTTGCACATATGCTCGAGAGAAAAATTAGGACACTCCAGAGAGTTTACAACACATTTCATGCATATGTGTTACACAAAGTGAAAAGCAAAAAAAGGACTTTTTTCAACTCTCTACAATTCAGCCCTTTGTTCGAGATAAGGTTACGTGAACTGGAAAATATGAAAATGAATCTGGGTCCATTTGTGGAACCCCAAGACAACTTTCGAAAAGACAAGCGTACCAAAGTCTCTCGCCGTGCTTGTCAATTGATTTATTGTAGGGCAGTAAAGCAGTAGGTAAAGATTGAAAAAGTTCACCTCGGTAACCTACATCGTGAACATAGAAATTGTTGTGGCAAGCCTCGATGGGTGGTGGAGAATCCAAAGGTGAATTTGGTTTCCCTGGATGGCGAGCGAGAAGAAGAGGAAAGATGAAAACGGAAGGAAAAGCCATTGCTTTAGAATTTCTCCCTTTTTTTCCGCATAAATAGAGGCAAACTGTGGAGGAGAGGGGCAAAATTTTGTAGGTAGCCACCAACACAAGCCGTAAATCAACGGCGGGTACTCTCCTCGGGGTTTTAGTTTAGTTGTTGTAAAACCTGAACTGCAAATCGCAAATCGAAAACGGTAGCCGATATTCGGTTCGTGACGCTTAGACGTGGAGATAATGACTGTGGAGAGGAGAACTTGGGCGACGTGGTAAGTGACTTAAACCGGGTTACTCGGTCGTCAATGGCTGAAAATTCCAGTAGCAGGCCACGATTAGTCACGAGGGTCAAAAAAGAAATGAAAGGAGAAGAATATAGGCTATTCTCTCATATTCTGCGCACCTAATAAAAATCTTACTTTCCGCTTTTCTTATTTTTCTCCTTCTCTCTCCTTCTCTCTCTTCCTTTTTCTCGATTCAACTTCCTGTCCAAAAGTCCACATGTCCTCAAGGCTAAGGTTCGTTTCTTACATAATCCCAAATCCTCAAGTGAGAAAAAAAAAAACACATCGGTCAACAGGATGTTGTTCAATATTATGCGAACAAAAATATCCGAAGGTGTGGCTCTCGAAATTTTTTGGTCAACTTGATCTCAAATGTTTTCGTTTTGTTTACATGCATCTTTTTCTGTCACATTTCCATGAAACCTTCCAAGAGAAAACTATTAGATTGTTTTTTTAAAAAAAACACTTCCGCATTAACACCATGTTTGAACAGTATTAGGAACCGAAATTCCCATAGATTTGAAGAGAACGAGAAAAATGGAGGTGTTTACATCTAGGGGCATTATTATACTTGCGATTAATAAAACGAAATAAATAGAGGACAATAGACCCGTGGGCTGTAGGAGTTGGAAATCAATCTCAAGTGCCGATGACCTGTGGCGAGGTATTGTAGTTCTGTCATTATTGTAATAGTATTCAATCGAATTTTTGGGAAAATTGTTGCTAAATATGAAAGACAGCGTAAGATTTGAAATGCGGGCTCGTGGGATCTTGTCACCCTCGATCGGAAAATGCCTAATTTGAGAAAAGAGACGAAGGAGCAGGCGTGACCCTATAAAGAAACAACGACGTAATTCCGGAATATGATGAGTCAAATAATTAAATTCATTAGGAAAACCACTGGATTAATTTGGTTGGTTGTTCTAAAAATTCTCACCACTTAAGCTCATTAACCGCATTTAATATAGTTACCATTATAAATGGTAATAATAAAGAAATATAAATGGTAAACTCATTTTCCAGTTTCATATAATTCGTTTTTATGTTTGTCACATCTATGGAAAATGGATATTTGAAGTAATTTCTTTTTGCTGAAATATTGTTTTTTAAAGCATTATTTGAAGTAGTTTTATTTACTGAAGTAGCATCATTTCCCAAAATGGGTTTTTTTTGCTGAAGCTATATTTTTGTTGAAGCACTTCTTGATGAATCATCATGTACTGCAGCAATATTTGATGAAGTGGTTTTATTTTATTTCCTTATGCTTTTTTGGTAAAGCATTTTTTACTGCATTTCTTGCTGCAGTTGCTTTGTAAGGTAAAGTAGCATTATTATTTGCTTCAGTATAGTTTTTTTGCTGAAGATTTTTTTCCTGAAGCATTAATATGCTGAAGTTATTTTCTATGATGAAGTAGCATTATCTGTTTCAGTATAGTTTTTTGTTGAAGATTTTTATCCTGACGTATTTTTTGCTGAAGCATCAAATACTGCAGCATTTTTTGCTGCAGTATTATTTGTAAAAGTATTATTAAAAAATCTGTCCGCGCAAGCGCGGACACATTCTCATCCGCGCTTCGCGCGGGGGCTCGCTTCGCTCGCAAGTTTCAGCGCGCCTCGGGGCGCGCGAATATTGATCGTCGCGCTTCGCGCTCCGGCGATTATTCCACACGTCGCGCTTCGCGCTCCGTGTGTTGTTGCGCGCTTCGCGCGCAAATGGCTCGCTTCGCTTGCGGCGGTCTGCAATTGTTGTGCATTATTTGTGTTCTTGTTCTTGTTTCCTATTATATGTTTCGTAAAACATTTTTTTTTCTTAAAGTTACTACGACTTTAAGGATTACATTCTCATCACATGTTTTTGTTTGCTGATGATAGCGAGATAAAGTGGATTTAAATGTATATTTTTGGTCTTGATTATTTAGATTGTGAAGTTATTTTTAATTATACTAACTCTCTTAGCAGAAACATGATTTGCAGAAGCAGATAAAATATTCTTAAAGTATTAGTATCAAGGTTTTTGTGTAGTGTAGACCGGAGCGTAATGGCTAACTTTTCACTCTTTGTTGATTTACACGGACATTTTTGTTTTAATTAAGTGTTTATCACCTAGAAAAGTTACTCTAGTATCTCAGCTTTCTTTTAAAAAGTCGAACGTCCCTATATTACGCTTACTTTTTTTCTACAATGAACGTACACTTCGTCGGTATCGTAGGTATTGCTCTTTCCCGTGTAGAAATTTGTCGTGGCCTTCCTAGAAATAGACTACAGCTATATAGCATTTGTCGTGGAAAATTATTCTGAATAAACTGTCCTGGCCCCGAAATGTTAATGTACAGTTTTCCCCTTTATTTTCTTCGCTATGAAGACAGTCTAGAATCTGGCTAAAATTTGTCTAGGATACTGAATTGAAAATTCAGTACAAGTTTGTATAGCAGGTTGTCCAAGAATTAGCTGGGCACTGTCTAGGACGCTGACTTAAGAATTTAGTACAAGTTCGTGGAGAAGGTGGCTCTGAGAGTCTACTAAGCTAGCAGACGAAATCAGTTCTTGACGTAGTGCTTGATGAAAAGAAACCAAGAGTCTACAATTGTAACTTATCTTGTTGTGAAGATAAAATCAAATTTATAAATCTAGTGAAAAGTTTTCAGTTTTCCATTTTTGAACAGGGACAGTGTACAAGTTTAAATATATTACAGCGAAAAAAAGATTTATTAGAAAAAGGACATGTGATGTCATCATTAATAGTCTAGATTGTTTTTCATATTATAATGTTCATAATAAGTAATAAAACTTTGGTAATTTTAAGTAAATTTTTTGTGATTGCAACAATATAATATACAATTAATTTTATTATCGGTATACAAGTACGAATCTTTATAGTGAATGTGTTTGTGTTTTAAAGAAAAAATCCAATGTAGCAAAATATGTTACAATTAATTTCAAAAATAATTGTAAGAGGAATTGTGATAATAACAAATACTTTTGTATTACTGTTTTGTTTGTTTAAAAGTTAAACAAACAAAAGAGTAAAGTTGAAAAATATTGTTCTATTATTTATAAACCTAACAATTATTCCCAGTATGTAGAAACTGCTTATTTTAATATCCAGGAACTGGCTAGGAATGATTTATTTTACTAGACAAGGACTAGACAAAATAACTGTACAAAATCTTGACGTTGCTAGTGTTACATCCCTCGTTCAAGCCTGTCCATTTTTCCCATCTAGTTGCTAGATTGAATCTAGCGCAACTGGACAGTTTCTCATACACTTCCACGGTAAATTTCTACACGGGTTATACATAGCGTGTTGCATTAGCCAACACGCCCTAGGGGTACTTAGGAAATATTTTGTAATTTTTATCAATACAGTAAGTGTGAATCAAAAATCTAAAATTGACCCTCAAAAAATGTTTCAAGCTTAAAACGCGATTTTAGTTTCTTTTTTAAAGTTATTTTAAAAAAATTAGAATGAAAAAATGAAAATTTTGAAAAGTTACTTTCATATGTGAAATACAGATTTTCTACTATATTTCTTACAATAGTTATTGAATAATAAATAATCAACCTTTGTAGAAACTTGCAGTACATCAAGTTGTCTTAGGAGTGAAATCATTTCGATTTACGATTATTAAATAAATTACAATTATTCATTACGCCCCTTAGCCATTATGTCCCGTTTTCCCTATATACGTGATTTGTAAATATATATCAAGTGTATGATTAAAAACATGTAAATTTGGATACAGTGAATGTGATATTTACCCATCGTTTTAACAAGCAAAAGTAAAACACCTCCACTAAGCTGAGACAAAAAGTCAAAAATTCGAAAAAAGTTTTTGAAAAAATTAAGTTTTTCAAAAGTTATCGTCGGACAGACAGACAGACAGACGTAATCGACAGACCATGTTTTTCGGACTCAGGGGACCCCAAAACGTCGAGATTTCATGAAATTAGCGAAAGTCAATTTTCGACCAAAACTAATACTTTCTCATATGATGAGAATGTAATAAAAAATTAGTTTTTTGCAAATAAGTCGAAAAGTTTTAAGTTTAGTGAAAAGTTGTCAACAGCAAAGTTGTAGCTGATGGTAAGACGAGAAAAAAAGTCTCTGGTAGCAAGCTCCCATAGGCAATAGTTTTGGAGATAATTGAGTCGGAATATGGATTTTTTGTTAAAAAAATGATAAAAAATATATATATACGGTGGTTTTTCCGGAAATTACTAGTTTTTGGTTAATGTGAGCATTTTTTGAGTACAATGGGGTGAGAATATGTGGAAATTAATGTAATAATTTTTTTCTCTTTGAGAAATTTTGATTTTTAGCGTTATTTTAGGATTTTTGAGTATTTTTTTGTTATTTAAGAGCCTATAACTCCGAAATTTGACTTTCTATGAAAAAATGTTGTAGAGGAAAGTTGTTTGTATTTTTCTAATCTAAAGTAATATAAAGTTAAAAACATTGAAATTTGAAAAAATTGAATTTTTAAATTTTTGAAAGTACTGTAGTTTGTGTAATTTTCGACGAAAATGGCTGGCTAACGAACTCGATCTGTATTTTAACACTAACTTTGTGCATGCAAAGTTGCAAGTTGATACAATAAGTTTTTCAAAAGTTATCGTGGCGACACCATTGTGTCTACAGACAGACACGAAGACAGACATACGGACAGACACTTTTTTTAGACCATGTTTTTCGGACTCAGGGGATCCCAAAACGTCGAGATTTCATGAAATTAGCGAAAGTCAATTTTCGACCAAAACTAATACTTTCTCATATGATGAGAATGTAAAAATGTTTAATTTGCATTCTTTATTGCTGCAGTAGTTTTTCAAGCTGAAATATTTTTTGTTAAAGCATTATTTAAAGAATTTTTATTTATTGAAGCATATATGATGAAGTAAAACATTATTTGCTGAAGTAGTTTTTGTAGCTGAAGCTTTTGCTTCTGAAGCATTTTTGCTAATGCATTATTTAAAGTAGTTTTATTTGTTGAGGGCTTAATTGCTACAGAATTTTTTGCTAAAGCATTATTTAATGCATTCTTTTTTTATTAAAGTAGTTTTATTTTCTGAAACATTATTTGTTAAAGCATTATTTAAGGAGAATTTTTTCTGTACAATTTTTGGCTGGGTCATTATCTGCTTAAGATCTGTTATTTTCTGGAGAATTATTTACTTAAATTATTTGTTATGCTAAAACATTATTTGCTATATTAGTTTTGTTTTGATGAAGCTTTTTTCCTAAGAATTATTTAATGAAGCATTTTTTAACTACAATCATTTTTTTTTTTGCTGCAATATTATTTGTTGAAGCATTATTTAAAGTAGTTTTATTTGAAGAAGCAGTTTTTGTAAGTTTTTTCTGAAGAATTTTTTCCTAATTGATTGTGTATGTTGCATATTTTTTGCTAAATCATTATGGATCTTTGTTTTCTAAAGTACTTATTTTGCTAAAGTATTTTTTGCTGAAGTAATTTTTTTGTTAAAACATTTTTTAATGTAATATTTTATAAAATAATTTTCTTTACTGAAACATTATTTGAAGTAGTAGTATTTACTGTAGCTTATTTGATGAAGTGGCATTATTTTCTGAAGAAGTTTTTTTAGCTAAAGCTTTTTTTCCTGATGCATTTTTGCTAAAGCATTATTTGCTGAAGTCGTTTTTGCTGAAACCTTTTTTTATTAAATCATATATTATTTGAAGTATAGTTTTATTTGCTTGAGTAATCTTTAGCTGAACCTTTTTTCTGAAGCATTTTCTGGTGATTTATTATTTATTACAGCATTATTTGATGAAGTAGTTTTATTTGTTGCAAAATTATTTTTTAAAGCATT